TTAAACAAGATGCTACGAAATTAATCAAATAGTAGAGATTCAGGCATCCAATTGAAAAAGTGATAGAGTTCCCTTACACTTGTGTAAGAAATAAAACTCACTTTCGTTGCTGAAGCTGATTTCTCTCCTTGATATCCTTTTATCTCCTCGTACCTCACAGCTGTAATCCACATTCAACAAAACTACAACAGATGCAACAAGTTAATTACTTTGCTTATATAAAAAAGAAAATTTGATAGATATCGTAAGTGAAGGCTTAATGGTATATGCCAAGAGAAAGAAAAAGTCTGCAGTTTCACATAACAAGGGCCGCCATTTTAGACCTCAGCTGATCTCTGTCTTACAAGTATCACTTGACCACTGATCAGATATCAGATCAATAAGCTCTAAAATATCTATTGCACGACTGCAAAATAACTTCTCATTTAGAGATCGAGTTCAACGGACTTCAGCTAGCTATTACAAAACTGAGTCTTCCATTCCAACCAAAAACTTACTAACGCTTTACCTTTGCAAGTAGTTTCATTGAGAAAAGTGTTTCAGAGAATACAGCAAAGTGGTTTATTAACGAATTAGAGGAATAATTTACTGATGTCATCTTATTCTAACAGTTCACTTTGAAGTTTGATTGTACAAGGTAATTGCAGTGGCAATGTCTTTCTCAGGTTCAGTCTTGAGCTCAAAGTGGGACTAGGAGAACGTTTCGGACCACTTTGTCTTACCGACGAACAAGCATATACCACATGTTGCATGCCTAGAAGCAGTTTGATATTACACGCAGGCATGAGAAGTTTTCACCCATATGATTATTACATTATATTTAAGCACTGGCACATATTGCAGTTCAAGAAAGCCTAACATAACAATTGCCAACAGATCCTCAAGCCCACCTTGCAGTTTTTCTTGTCGCTCTATCCATCCATTCAACCTTGCACTCTCCTCCCTTCCTCTTTTCTTTTCCTCCCTTTGCTCGCCCTTTCCCGGGCCTCCCCAAGCATCCTACCCTTCCTCCCCTCCCACATTACCCATGAGGGGCTCCCATTCCCTCCCAAATGTCAACAAATGCAAATATTTATCATTTTAGTAAACACTGTCAACAACAGTTGTGAACAACTGAAGCGCTTACAGAAAAGTAGGATGAAACTCCACTTAGCCACTGAGGGTACCATCATGACGTGTTTCAGTTTGTTTTCTGCATAAGAAAAGTTAATGTGTCTCAATTTGTTTCTTTCATTTTTCATCAAAAGAGGTTAGTAAATTAAATCTTTTCGAAGCAGCTCGATGTTTTATACACAAGTTTCTGGAGTATCTGGAGTAAACTCTTGAGGTTTTAATGAATTTTTCTCCATCGGCTACAGAACAAACGTATCCTTCGAAGTGAAACAGACAAAACCTTAAAGACTTTCTTAGCACTTGCTGGAAAGTTGTTTAAACAATATGTGCTGACTACAGTCAAGGAAATGAAGCACCTTTCTGTGAAAATACTGGTAAACAATGTGTAGCAACGTCACTTACTGCTATTATTTATCATCACATAGAAGATATCAATTTGTGG